AGTCTCCCAGCTGGGAATTGCTGGGGAGGGCGCAGGCTCCGCTCCTCGCAGGGCCTGCCTGCGGTTTTATTCCCTTTCCCCAAGGTAAGAGGAGGGAGGAGGAATCTCCTGCAAGCAAAAATCCTGGGATTTTGTTCTTCAAACACCGTGGTTAGGGAGGATGCAGGGGAGGATGTCCGTGGAAAACTTGTGGGAAATAACATCCTGATGATCCTATGGGATGGACTCTGTGTATGCTCCTCTCCCATGTCCTCCACTTTTTCCTCTCTCCTTGTTTCAGTTCTTAGACATCCTGGAGCTTTTTGAGAGGCTCCAGAGAGCGTTGAGGTGTGTGACAAAGCTCTCCAGGCTTTGGCCTTGCTGGTCCTTGCTTTGATGCCAGCAGGGCAGAGTCTGCTCCCCTCTGCAGCCCGCGGTCCCTGCTGGGAGCGATGGGCTCTTGGGAAGCAGGCGCTGCTTCCTGGGCGGTTTTTCCCCCTGTAGGGAGTTTTGAAGTCGCCAGTCCCGGCCATGGCACAGCTCAGAGCAATGGAGGGGAGTGTGGGTGACGAGATGCCCCCTCCTTGGGGTGCCCTGGGGAATTCCCTGGGGAAGGGGGTGCAGTGCCCCGGCGGGCGTGTCCCCCCGTTCAGCCGGCTCCCAGCGAGGGCAGGGCTGCTGCAGCTGCGGCGACATCCCGGCGAGACAATGCCTGTCCCCTGGGGCATGGCACCGAGCCAGACCCTCTGCGCATCCCCGGGGACACCCCGGGCACCGCAAGGGACCCGCCAAGGGCAGGGCTGGCCCTGGGGTGACCGGCACCTCCCTGCACTCCGCCAGCAGCCACGGGTCTCCAAACCGCGGGCACCTGTCCCCTGTCACCGGGGGGACGCGACGAGCGCCCCCAGCCCGGGCAGCCCGTGCTGCTGCAGGGCAGGGGACAGCCCTGCGGCCACCCCAAACCCCGGCCATGGGGCTGGGCAGCCCCTGCGCCCCTCCACAGGGGCTGGTAGCCGGGAACCTGCGCCAGGACCAGAAGCCGGTTCCGTGCAGCCAGGGAATACAATAAAATTAAAGCTCATTAAGCACTTAGAAAAGGGTTTGCATTGAGGGGGAGTGGGCGGGGGGGCCGGGGGGCCGTGCATCTCAATACTGGGCTATTTAGAAGGGAGAATTTAATAACAGGGGGGTTGGTTTTTATGGCAATAGATTTATTCCACCTGGGCTAAGAAATACATTCCACATCTGCCGAGCCGTGTAACCAGACTCTAATTAAAATCGTGTGCCAAGCGAGGGCCTGGCTGCAAAACACAAAGCTGGCTTTTAGAGCGGCTGGGAAGCGCGGCCAGGCGGCCCGGGGCGGCGGTGGCCGGCACGACGGGCACGGGGCTGGCAGGGCTGTGCCACCGCTCCCGTCCCCACAACGGGGCTGGCCGAGGGGACACTCCGTGCGCCTGCAGAGACCCTGCGACACGGGGACACCCACGGGCACGTCGCAGCGCTGGGGACCAAGTGACACCTGTGTGTCTGCAGAGACCCTGCGACACGGGGACACCCACGGGCACGTCGCGGTCTTGGGGACAGGGTGATGGCCCTGGGGTGGTGGCTGCCCATGGTGATGGTGACACCCACACGTAGGATGGCTGGTGTCCAGCAGAGGCAGTGCACGGGGGGGGACTGGTGACATCCACATGTGTAGGGAGAGTGTGACACCGCAGTGACAACAGGGAGAGGGTGGCATCCCCCTTTCCACAGTGCTCATGAAGAAAGGGTGACATCGATGGGGACGGGGCGATACCCACGCACCTGCAGCGACCAGGGCACAGGGTGGCACCCCATGACAGGGGACAGAGCGATGTCCCCAGCGGTGCCGCACAGCACGGAGGGCCGGCGGGGCACACGGGCAGGGTGGCACGGTGACAGCCGTGTCCCCGGGCTGCAGGGGCGCGCTGCGGGCCCCAGTGCAGGGGTTTCACAGCCCCGGGCGTCCCGAACAAACAGCGGCTGTGTCTCGCCTTAACAGCCCGGCCTCAGACAGCGGCAGCAGCGCCAGCTCCGATGGAGAGAAACTAATGAAACCTTCGAAATAGCTTGTACGGGAGTAGTGAAGTGAGAAAAAAACCCCAGAGCGCTTGCTGCCAAGGAAAATACACTTACCTAGTAAAGCATGAGTAATAAGTGGCATTTTTTACAGTGTGAAGATATAACTTTTCATGAAAATACCAAATAAGGCTCCGTGTGAAAAGTGGCCGGCCTTTCTAGTTGCTTTTTTTCCTCTCCCTGTCTTTCTTACCTTTCCCTGCGCTCTCCAGGCACACGTGTGCTCTCCCCAGCGCCCCTTCTGCAGGAGCCTGTTTACGGGGCCGCCTGCCCGCCACCCCCGCGCGGCCCGCCTCGGGTTCCGTCGCCCTGAGGAGAAATGAGAAGGGAATGGAAAAACAGGAGCCGCTGTTCGGCGAGACTTTCTATTTTTAAAAGGTTAAAAATATCTATTTTCAGACACCAGCCCAGGAAGCGCAGGGTGAAGCGCCGCGGCGGGACGGCGGCAGTAAACAAGGCCGGGACGCGCCGGGCGGCTCGGGAGCTGCGGCTCCGGGATGCTCCCGCAGCATGGCAGCACCCGGGGTGCCACGGCGACAGCGAGCCGGGCATGTGGCCACGGGGACAGGAGGGATGGCATGAGGCCGCGGGGCTCCGTGCCACGGGGATGCTCAGCCCCCAGAGAGGATGCTCAGCATCAAGGCGGGATGACCAGCCCCAGGGAAGGAGGTTTGTATCCAGGGGGATGCCCGGCCCCAAGGTGGGATGCTCAGCTCCTGGGGGGATGCGTGGCACCCAGGCAGGATGGCTTATCTTCCTCAGCATCACAGCCCTGGTGCCCTTGTGGGATGGGATGCTTGGCTATCCCACCACAGGAGTGGGATGTGGTACCCACTGTGGGAGGAAGGATGTGCAAAAGCCATCTCCAAAATCCCACAGGTGCTTTTCCTCCTTTGGTTTTGCAGGTCTGCTCCTTTCTCCCAGGCCGAGGTCCCAGTGAGGCTCCCTGGGCTGGCTCTGGCAGCAGCTCCTGTGCTCATCCCTGGCTCACCTGGGCAGGAGCACCCACACCTCCCGAGCACCACATTCCCAGACAGGGAGAACCAGACAGTGCTCCAGGCCGGGGCAGAGGGGCTGGAATGCTGGAAAAGGTGCTGGGGTGCGGACACGAATCCAGGTGAGCCCAGGTGAGCAAGAGGCCAATGGCCCTGGGCTGTGCTGGGGCACCTCCAGTGCTGGGGCAGCTCTGGGCCCCTCCTGACAAGAGAGACCTGGAGGGGCTGGAGCATTCCCTGGGAAGGGAATGGAGCCCCAGGAGGGGCTGAGGGAGCTGGGAAAGGGCTCAGCTGGAGAAACGGAGGCTCGGGGGGACCTTGTGGCTCTGCACAACTCCTGCCAGGAGGGGACAGTGACAGGACAAGAGGGAATGGCTTCAGAATGGCCCAGGGCAGGCTCATGCTGGACACCAGCAGGAATTTCCCATGGAAAGGGTGCTCAGGCCTTGGAACTGCCCAGGGAGGTTTGGAGTGCCCATCCTGGAGGTGCCCAAGGAGTTCCTGGTGTGGCACTCAGAGCTCAGGGCTGGTGACAAGGTGGCCATGGGGCACAGTGTGCACTCCATGGCCTCGGGGGGCTCTCCCACCGTGCTGGGCTCGGTGGCTCCACGCTGCCGGCGCCCAGGCGGGCCCCGGCAGGTCCTGGCAGGTCCCGCTGTCCCTCAGAACCGCTGAGGGATTTTGCTTCCTTATAAGGCCCTGCTGCTCCCTGCTCCCGTGTCTGCGGCCGGGCTGGCAGTGCCTGTCGGAGAGCAAAACAATTCCCAGCAGGCTGCCGGGACTCCCTCCTGCCCAGCCCAGCCCAGCGATCGTCCTCGGATCCCCGGCTCTCATCTCCGCTGCCCGATGCCTGGGCGGGAAGGGCGGGAGGGCTTTTTGCGAGCAGGCCCTGCCCAGTGCAAGGAGGGTTATAAACCAGTCTCCTGAACAAGGGATGGGGCTTTGGCATCCTCGGAGCAGCGCTTCCCAGGGGCTGCTGGCTCGGAAGCACCTTGTCCAAGGAGAGCCCAGTGCAGCAGCAGCTCTAGCCCGGGGAGTGTGCCTGGAGAACAAGGACGAGGATTCCCCTGCCTGAAATAAGGCTGTTAGGGAGGAAACACTATAAACTGCACTTCACTGAATGAACTTCTCCCAGTGCTTCTTCTGAAGTCCTTCCGAGGGTGTACACGTGGTGGGAAGGGGGAAGAGGAGAGCAGATGCCCCTGGGATTGGATTTCCAGCTATGAATGATCCATACACGGGTGTAAAGACCTCTGCATCTCCAGGAGGAGCCTTTGGACCCTGAGCTCCACCAGTACCACGTCCCAAGGCGGGAGATGTGCTCCACATGCCAAGAGCCAGAGCCTGGCTCCTGGACATTTTTCCCCCCTCCAGCCCCTGGGTGCCAGAGGGGTGACCCCTACCCACAAGAGAGCCTTCTCCCTCTCTCCAGTCCCAATTCCTTGCTCCCAGGCATTGCCTGGGGACACTCCAGCCTCGGCCAAGGCGGCATCCAGGGACCTGAAGCCCCCCTGGGGCTGGCAGCCCATGGAGTGGGGAGTATGAGATCATGATTTTTGGAAGTCTGAAGTTCTCCCGGGTCCTGCTCCTGCAGACATTAAGTCATTTTCCGGAGGAAGTGCTGTGTGACGTCGATCTGGTTACAGGAGCCGAGGTGGAGCTGGAGCCGCAGCTCCTGTGAGACCACAGCAGAGGTGAGGAGCAGGAGCACCAGGACACCCTGTCCTGCCCCTCTGCCACAGGAATGACACTCCAGGGGTCCAAATTCGATACAAATCCTGGTATTTCGAGGTTTCAGATGCCCTAAACCACTCAGTTGAAAGCTTCCAGCCTGGTTTTGATGGAAGAAATCTTTATCCACTTCACCAGGCAAATGTCTTTGACTTCCACGCAGTCAAATATCACAACAACCCTTGGAAATCAGACTTGACACATTATTTAATGAATAAGGGCAAATAAAAAAAAAACCCAAAAACAAAACCAAAAACCAACAAACCAAAACTGTGTTCAATGGGATTTGTTACTTCTCGTTTCCTTTAAAAATACCCTCTCAACTCTACCACCAAGAACAACAGAACCACTATGGCAGGCTGGGTTTTGCTCTCAACAGTTAAACTTTTTCATTAAACCAGAATAAGGCTGATCATTCTCTTCCCAGGCCACAGCACAGGTACAACCCAGTGGTGCTGCTGGGGTGCAGCAGCTCCTCTCCACCAACCACTGAGGACACCAGCCCTACCTGGAAGCACTCACCAGCCCAAGCTTCAGGAGTGCTCAGCATCAGCCCTCTGGAAAATCCTTCACATCTGTCTATCAGCCTCAGCACCAGCCAAGCAGGAGGCCCAGACCGAGCTCCTCTGTGGTTAACAGGATTGCTGTGCTGTATTCCTCTCCCATAACAGGTTCCTTGGGACCATGTGCTGTGGCACTCTTCCTTCAGCAGGCAGATGACGAGATGTCCAAGGAAAAACTCTTCTCTTGTCTGGTTTATGCCTGTAAAAAAACCCTTCAGGCAACCCAAAACTTCCAAACCCTGCGATGCAGCACGTGCTGTTCCCTGGTACCTGCCTGGGGTTATCAGCAGTGCCCTCTCATCACCCTTCCTTCTGACTCATGGGCCTCCAAAGATCCAGTTATTTCCCAATCACAGCAAAGCCTTCCCCCAATTACTCTGGAGCCAATTGGGTGGGAAGCCTCAAGGATGTTTTTGTAAAGACAGAACACCAACAGTGTCCCAGTCTATAATTAGGCATCTGAGCAAGTTACAGAGGATACGTTCAAGGAAGAAAAGAGTAAGAGAATTTTATATGCACTGCTTTGTCCAAAAAAAGATTATGAAAGGCAGAGCAAAAACTATTTACCAGTCTTAGGGGGAAAATGAAGTACACTTCATTCAGCTAAAGCCGAAGCAGATGTTCAATATTTGTGTCTGTGCCTGAAGACCTGCTACGTTACTGCTGCTACCCAACGTGAACATCTGGACCAATCTGAAGAGCTGGGGGTGTACAAAGAGGGGAGGAAAACACCACAACTCCTCTCCTAACTTAGCACCAAAGGAGTGATTAAAAAAATACAATTTCATGTGAACAGATTTAACAGCCTTTCAAGAGTTCCTCTAGATGCTGCCTCTAGCTGGCAGTTCCCACAGCGCCTAGTGATGACTGAAATTATTGCAGTAACAAATAAAAACTTTTCTCTGATACAAAATCTAGTCCAGAGGGCTTCCTTACACAGTAAGCAGGACACCTTGCATAACCAGGGGTTGCATGTTGGCCCCCACAAGCAGCAGCAGCTTGCAGAGAGCCACACGAAAAAAGGGAGCAACACTCCCAAGCTGCCAAGAGGAGATAGAGCCAGTTCATTTCTTCTGGCAAAATCCCATGATGGAGATCTGTTTGTTGGCTCTGCTGGCAGGAGCTGCCCCTTTCTTTGCGTTCTTCCTTTCTTCCTTTGGCTCTCTCTTGGTGGGGAGCACGGGCTGTTTTTGTGGAGCTGGTGCCTTGGGCTTGGGGAATTCATCCTCGCTGTCCGTGCAGGATTCACTCTCGTAAACCTTCTCAGTCACTGGTGGAAAGAACAGGGAAGGGAGCAGAGGATGATGATGGTTAAGCCATCTTTACACCAAAGACCTCCCCACTGCAGCCTTCCCATTGCACTCCTGGAAAGGAACGCTTCGGGTTTAAGGAGCACATGTGAGATACAGGAATTAAGTCCAAAGTTAAGCAGTAGGAAATGACCTTGAGTTGTGCCAAGGGAGGTTTAGGTTGGGTGTGAGGGAAAACTCCTTCCCCAAAAGGGCTGTCCAGCCCTGGCACAGCTGCCCAGGGCAGTGGTGGAGGCCTCATCCCTGCAGGGATTTAAAAGCCGTGTGGATGTGGCACTTGGTGACATTGGCCAGTGGTGCCTTGGCAGTGCTGGGGGAACAGCTGGAGTCAATGACCTTAGAGGGCTTTTCCAACCGCAGTGATCCTGAGATTCTAACTCATACAGCAAAGGCTGACAAGCAGCCATCAGAAAGTGATGAATCTGAAGGAGATCAGAATCAGTAGTTTGGCATTAGGCAATGGAACATCTACTTTATGGCTAAACCCCACCATTCTGACTTGGCCTGATTTCCACAGGGGCCAAGGCAATCAGATTTTCCAGAAATGCAGGCAAGACAACCTGGAGACATCCCCAAGCTGCTCTCACCAGCACACTGGACAGCTAGGGAAGAGCAAAGCAGACGCCGCCCGTCTCCAGGGGCACAAACCCTTTGGGGCAGCTTCTTTCCACAGAGGTGGCCAAACGGGGCCAATATAAAGAAACCCTTTGTACAATCAGCCCAAAGCCGTGTCTGCAATCAGGGGCTCTGCCTGAAGGGGATTGCCAGCTCGCTGCTGTCAGCGTCCGGCGGTGGAAAGCCCAGGGATATAAAACAACCTCACGGAAATTAAACTGGAGTCAGCCCCGCTGATGAAAGCCACCGTCAGATCCCAGCAAACGTTGTTATATCAGCTTTCCCAGCAGTGCTCTGGGATTCTTCTAGTAAGCCATTTTTCTTTAGCAACTGTATTCTTTTAAACAGATGTCTTAACTTCCCTTCTTCTGGGAAACTGGCTTTCGCTTGTATTAATGCATCAAATTAAATAAGGTTTCCTACGTCACCAGGCACTGGGAAGAGGAATGCTATGAAATCCTCCTGAGCTGCGCTAGCAGGACCTCAGACAGGGACTGCAAACCAAGCAATCTCCCTTCAGAGGCAACAGGCTTTCCAGGGAGCAGCTTCCCCAGACCACTGCGTGAACCCAAAACCCTTATCCTGTTGTCAGCCTGTCAGGAACTGCTGGGAGCTCCCGAAGCGTGCAGTTAACCCCCTCCAATTGCAGCAACACAGCTTAGATCAGCTTTCTTTGGCTGCACTCTCAGCTGAACTCAGAAGTCTGTATGCGCAGCACCTATGGGCACACAGATGCAGTTCCTGATGCCCCACTCACAGCCAGACTCCCTGAATCAGAGCAGCCCAAATGATAGGAGCTCTCAAGCGCTGTAACACAAATTTCCCTCCAATGCACATGTGGATGTTCCAGCCTCCAAGCCCATGTGTGTCCTTTGAAGCTTTAGAAAGTGCAAGGTAGAAACACACAAGCTTAAACCTCAATAATTCCCCTTTACTAGAGACTAAGAGCAGGCCCTCAATCCATGGATTTCTGTTGATGCCTAGGAATGTTTCTTGTGCTTAACTCCACACACACTTTAATTGCTCAATTTCCCTCAGGACTAATCCCTGAATTACTTTTGCTTTTTGACACCAATTCCTTGCTATTGCAGCTATTGTGAAAACCATCACTTAAAATTGTGGAGAAATATAAAGTACAGCCTCATTCTAATGTTAGGATTAAAACCTCTTAAAACCTAGTGTTGGTTTAAAAATAAAAAGACAGCAGGGAGAGGAGCAAAAACCCTCTATTTCAAAGAATAACTAAAATTTACATTAGCCTGGGAGATTTGCAAGTTATTTAGCCTTTGAATTATTAGGCCTGTGCATGGAAAGGGTGTGGAATGGAAGGGAGAAGAGAAACTGGACAACAGCCAGACAGCAAGCTCTGCACAACAGGCTGGAGGATTTGTAGTAGAGAAAGCAGCATCTCCTCCCCAGCCAGTTCCTCAGTATCCAGCTCCATCCCACAGGATCTATCTCCCAAGGGCCTTGCATTCCCTTGTCAGAACAAGGGATATGAACTGTAAAACCAGGAGTCTGGATTTTCCAAGGGACTGTGAAACCCTGTGGGGGTGAAGAGCAGAGAAAGAAAGGCAATGCTCCCAGCTGAACCCAGAAGAGACATTCCTGTGCTCTGGATGCAGAGTCTGTACAACTCAGCTCCCCATCTAATGCTATTTTGGTCCATTTTCCTTCCAAGTGTTTCAATGGCTCTGTCTGGGATGGGAGAGGAGAACACCCCACAGGGTAATCAGCCAAAGCTGTCGATAACTCTGTGCAAGTCCAATTCTTGGACAAGCAAGCAGTACTCGGGATTTCAGTCCCAGTGCAGCCAGCTGCTGAGAGCCACAGCTTTGTGTTTCTCTGAAGGAGACACACCAAGTTAATGGGAAACAGAAGATGCAGCTCTGCAGACAGGTGCAAACAGACACAGGCTGAGTCTGGGCCAAGCAGCTCCGGAGCTGGGCCAGGAATGCCCGAGTGTCTCCATGGCCAGCACCAGCACAGACCTGTACAACAGCACCACATCTTCCCCAGCACGGCCTGAGCTCCACTGACACCCCCTCAGCCCAGCCAGGCTGGGGAACCAAAGCATCCCACACAATCCAGCTGACAACAGAATTACAAAAAACACATTCCACTGATATTCCACTCTGGCTCTCAGGACCTCTGTAGGGACTCTCTTCCCTTCTGAAAGCAGAGCCACCCTTATCAGAAACAGAAACCCTATGAAGCATTTAAGCCCCACTGTTTATCTGGGATACTCTATGTTTCTTTAACATATAATCAAGTTTTGCACAGCTCTGGATTTATCCTCAAAGGAAAAAAAAAAAACGCAAGAAAGTTATCTCAGCCAGAATTTATCCCAGACCCTAAACCTCTTTCTGTATTGTCTTTAAAGGCTTGCAGCTTTGGAGAGGAGAGTAAATGAAGGTGGTAATCATGATGGCAGGGTAAAAGGGAAAATAACTGAAGGAAAAATCTGTGAATAATCAAAAAAGGGTAAGGATTCAGCTACAGCTCTGACTCCCTACACAGGCCTTCAGCAGAGGCTCAGTTACCTCAGTCTGGGAGCAGGAGTTCCAAGTGGGATAACTAAGTGGTTTTGTGAACCTCTTTCTATCCTGGGAGAGGCTGGCCTGTTAAAATGGCCAATAAAGTGAGCTCCAGTGAGTGAGTGTAGGGCACAGCCAGTCTTACCCATGCAGCCTTCCTCTTCATCAATAAACATCTTGGATTTCAGCACGCGCCTCCGCTTCCTCTTCCTCCCTCCAGCTGACACCTGGAGGACATGGCAGCACTGTGAGAATCCAGGAGCTCATTTCTCATTACCTGGGAGCATGTAATCACTCTAATCTGCTCTCACCTCTGTGGATGCAGGCTCCAGCTCAGTTTTCAGAGCAGGTTCAGGTGGTGGAGATGGAGCTCTCTCTTCCTCGGGTGTGGGAGAGGGTGGGACATCTGCTAAGAAGAAGAACAACACCTTGCTGATGCTACACGCTGCGGTTCCCAAAGGAAGGAGAGTGGGATAGGATGGGAGAAGTGCCCTGGGGATTTTTGGTAAGCCAAAATAATCAGTTCCACCAAGGGAAACTTTAAAACCAGGCACAGGAACTGGCAGGTTTTAGCTATACATTTCACTTACTTGTTAGAAAGAGTGACTGTAATTTGTTTAGGAATTAAAAGAGGAGGGGTGTGGTAAAACAGTTGTTGCTTCACTGGTGGTGCTACACATCCCAAACAATCCATGCTATCAGCTTAAGCCAAGAACTGAGTGCAGTACACTATCACACATCCTAAAACTTTTATTTGAAAAAAGTTTTTAAAAGCCCCACAAAAATCCAAACCACCACAAAAACCAGAAGCTGACTCTCTCACTGTCTCATCTCCTTGCTCTCCTCTGGGTTCAAGGACAGGGACACCGGGTTCCATTCAATGCCAAGGCCAATCAAAGCAGTCAAGGACACCTTCACACATTTGTAGGGAGCAAAGTGAGCTCTGGAGCCTCCAGCAGCCACGTCAAAGTGAGACAAGCAGGGCTCCAGAGCAAGGAGCGCGGCAGGGTCACCCTCCCGCAGGGCTGGCAGGGGGACAGGGCTGCGGGAGATCCAAGTGAGAAAGGCTGCCACGCAAGCGCTGGGCCGGGGGGAGAGCTGGGAGCCGGGGAACAAACGGCTCCTGTGACCTATTGCTTCACCTCACACGGATGTGGCTGCGGCTCTGCCCTCATCCCACCACGGAGCCGGGATCCGGAGCTGTCCCGAGGGACCGGGGCCGTGTGAGGAGCTGGCGCTGCCAGCTGACCTCCGCAGGGAGACAGCACTGGGCTGCCAGGGCCCAGCAATAAATCACATTCCTGCAGCAAGGACTCGGCCTCCCAGCCACCAGGCGGGAATGCAAACAGTGGGATAACACCACTGGGCTTGCACCCTGCCCCGGGGCCGGCAGCGCTGCTCCAGCTGGAGGTGCCGCGCTGCCCTCCAGCCGGCTCTGTGTTTGTCCCAGTCTCGGACACCGTGGGCTGAGGCCTCCACACAGTGCCCAGCAGCAAACCTGCACTGGCACTGCCCAGCCTGGCCTCTGCCCTTTGCACATATCTTTGGGAGGGGACGAGCTAGGAGGGCTGAAAACCAGCCTGGTGAAAAGCCTCTGCCATGCTCAGGCAGGGGCTGCTGAAGGCATTGTCAGCGTGCCAGCTCCGCTAGATCCCTTGGGGGAAATTTGGGCTTTTTTCAGCTTCCTTCAAACAATTTACCCAGCTTTTGGCAGGCAGAAGGCACCTTCTCCTCACGTCAGAGTGTTTAGGACTACTATCAAGCCCTTTTATTACTTTATTATCCTCTTCTAGCCAACACAGCCCTCTGACATGTGATAACTCCTGAGTCAACCACTAGCTGCTGCCCACAGTTTGCTCAACAGCAACAGCTGCATGAAATAGATACAAGTTGGGCAACTGGATGGACCAAAGATGTAAATCCTGGCTTTGTTCGGTTTGCTCTGACCCTGCCTGGAAAAACTGTGAGAAGCTTTAGTGCTTCTGCTGTGGCTCTCCAAAACCCATGGAGTTTGTAGGTCACAGTGCCACTGAAATCACCCTCCAAAGTGGCTGTAAAACACTTGTCAACACTGTGAAATGCTGCCTGTGTTGGTACAGCTGAAGCTGCCAAACCTCCTGTCCTCTGTGGGAGCACTTGTGGAGTTTGTTCTGGCACTGGAAGCAAAACAACCTGCAGTGACTAAGGAACCCTGATACCAATATAACTTTTTAATGAAAAATCATTTAAATGGAGAGGATTGTGCCTTATGCCCTCTCTGTGTTTCCAGCCTGGTACAATGTGCTGCTGCTGCTGTAAGGAGAGCTTATTTAGGGCTACTTGTAGTACACCAAGAGCAGACTAACACAGAATAGGCAGAAGGCCTGGTCTGACATGGAATTGTCCATAAGTGCTTCACATCAGCCAGGCAGGCTGAGTTTCACACCCACAAAACCTTGCTAAGTGTGCCCGTCACTCCAGGCCCCCTTTTGCTCATGATGCTGCTGATTCAAGTTGCCCCTCCTCTCTGGAGAAACCTGTTTCCAACCTTTCCAAGGATAGATGCTCTTCAAGTCCAGCTGCTGTACAGGTATTTTTTTTTATTGTTTTTTTTTTTTCCATCCAACTCAGCGGTCTACTTCTGTACTCAATATAATATTACCAGTTTGGACTCATTAAAAATATTCCAAACAATTCAAATCTGTCTTCTTTCATCTGGCTGGATTTAGAAGGGCAAGCAGCAGGACAAAAGGGCTCAGTTCTCTCAATTCTAATTTTCTCTTTTCAAAGGGCAAACTGAGTGATATCCAAATTTGTATACATGTGCTGTAATTTGCATAAATTTACAATTCGAATGCACAGCACAAAGAAATGAAGAACAAAGAGGGTTCTGATGCAGGAGCAGCAACAGCATTGACAGAAAACCTCCCCAGTGCCTGACCACCTTCTCAGGGAAGAACTTTTCCCTAACATCCAACCTAAACCTGCCCTGACACAGCTCCAGCCATTCCCTCAGGTTCTATGCCTGGTCACTAAAGAGAATGTAAACCTTGGAATAAAAGAGACCAGGAGGCATCCCACTCAAAAACATCAATTGTTAAACACGTGCTGAGGTCACTCAGGGGTCCCATAGGAGACCAGAGAGTTCTACCATTCCAAACTCCTGCCTGATCTCACAGGAGGTGGATGAGCTCAAAGATTCCAGCCAAGCAAGGATGGGCTGATTTCAAAATTCCCTCCTCAGAGCTAAACAACTCAGCTTGTCAGTAGGGGAGTGATGAGGAAATGGAAAGAAAAGCATTTAAAGAAATAAATACCAAAGACTGTGGGCATATATGTGTATATATATATATTTTATAGCCAAACAAGGAGCTTCACACTGGAATGTGATGGAATTAAGGCTGATCACAAAGAACAGCTTCCTGAGAGATTTATCATCCTGTGGAATAGTCTAAGAAGTGACACGTACCTGATGACGAAGACAAATGACAAAGATCATTTGTAATTATGTGGGCAGCAGGGAAACTATGACAACAGGCCAGAGGTGGCATGGGTACTGCAAAGATACCAAGAGCAGCCACCTCCTCCTGGCACTGCAGATTTCCCTGATGCCCTGGCTGTGCCCATGTGCCAGCCACACTAAGGGAGGAATCAGCTGTGGCTCCCCCGAGGGATTCCACCCCCTCAGCAGCACACCCCATTTGCTGTTTCACCTTCTTTTACTGGAGTTCTACACCGAACTGGTGGTTTCAATTACTCCATAATTGTCCGTAATGATCCCCAAGTTCTTTTCCTGAGCAGCTTGCTGGATGACTGTTCCATTTAGCACATACTCCCGAGCTCAATTCCAATTTATTTCCCAGTTATCTACATTGAACGGCATTTGTCACCTCGATTATCCAAATTCTTTGGGATCCAGGCCTGCTGTTCCTCATTATGAGCCCAAATCTTGCAATGTTCTGGGCACCCCACTCCTGTCACACCACTGAGGAGACGCAGAGTCGCATGGGATACGGCTCAACTGCTTTGCCTCCAACTTCCCTATCATCTCCTTTCTTTTTGGATGTCTTGCTTCCAACACTGTCTTCCAAACCCCTTCTATGAACAGACAGAATAAAGATACTAAAAAGGACCCTGTGAGGAGAGGGAGGCCACTTGTGAGTGTTCCCTCTCCACATGAACTGGCTCTGGCCAGCCCCACGGCTCTGGAAGGCGCGCTATCTTTCACAAGAGATTTGGGACCCTGCTTCCCACTGTCAGGGGCACTGGCAGCACACTGGTGAGGAGACAGCCAGGTCTGAGCTAAGCTTAAACAAAGACTGAATCTTTGTTTTGAGACATCTCAACTCCATGCCCAAGTGCTTGCAGCACAAAGATAAACACAAAGCTCAGGCTACAGCCATTTCCACGGTCTTTAGTCCTTTAAACTATTCCCTCAATCACTAACCAACAGATTTGGAGAGTAATGTTTTGGAAATCAGAACCCTGACCTACATGCCTGATTGTTTACAGATCTTACCTTCTTCATCACTGCTGTCAGACACAAGTTGCTTGATTCGCTTCCTCTTTTTCTTGACATTTTCAGGATCTCTTTCTTCCTCGTCATCTGACCCATCCGCTCTCTTCGTTTTACTGCCACAAAAAGTACAGGGAGAAGAAAGGGAATGAACAGCCATGGTCTCTCAGGTCTGCATGAAAGCATCAAGTGCACTTGGACAAGCACATTCCTCATGGAAGGAAATCAAATGCCCCCTAAAAGCCTGAGCATCGCATGCTCTGACCTGCACACTGACTGCACAACCAGGCATAGGTGCACGAGCATTTCCAGGCCTCTCATCCTTCCCCACATGCAGCTCTCCAAAACAAGGAGGATTTCTTTAGCCCCACTGCAGTTCAGCCCAGTACCTCACCTCGCTTGGCCACAGCAGCCTGGCAAGAGCCTACTTCTGATCTTGTCTCTTTAGCTCAGGCTCCCAGTGTCCCCAAAAGCATCGCTCAGAAGCTCTTTTGACAGACTGCTTGCCACTGACTGACTATGAGGTAGTGTCTCAGAATCCTGGAGCCATTTTTAAAGACTACTGGAAAAATAAAATAGCTTCTTTCTTTTTAATGTTGGCGAGACGTGTCAGACGAACAAGCCTGGAGGCTAAAGGCCCACGTATCCTCAAAGAGCTGGGACAGCCCAAGTGGCCTTCCCAACTCCAGGCTGCCAACACCTCCAGGCCCTTGGCTCCTTGGACAAGACTATCAATAAGACAAGCAGTTAGAGCTAACTGCGATGGTGGGCTGGGTGGTGTGCTTACCTATTCAGTTAGACATGGATTGAGACCACCAATTAATTACTCATAGGCCACCAGAGAGCCATCAGACTGTAGTGATTCTTTGTCTCTGTCAGTTTGGGTTGGATTAAACACAAAGGGCTGAACTTAAAATTAACTTGGAGCCTCAGCCCAAAGTAAACCAGTGGCATTGAAAGCAGCCCTACATGAGCTATGGAGATCAACAAGCACAACTTTGTGCTGCAAGTTGTGTACATACAGGCTTGGGAATATCCCACCTTCCCTGCAGGACAGGTGCTCCTGCCAGCCCTCCCCACTGCCTGCAGGGTCTCTCCCAGGCTGCTCACAGTGGGAGGCTGTCTCATGGAAAGCCATCCCCTCCCACTGAGGACAACCTGGGCCCTGTCCCTTCCCATATGCAATGGCACCCACGGCCCTGAGGCACCTACAGCAGCAAAGGGAAAAGAAACACCAGGAAAAAATCCTGACAGATCATTTTAGTCAGGTTTAACACAATTTAGTAGATGGAAACAGGAGGTGAGCCAGCAGTGTATGAGCAGCCAGCTCCACGCAGGCTGTCCCCAAGCAGATACACAGGGACCCTGAAGGCATGACCCACCTTTTCTTGTCCTTTTGCTGAATTCTGACAGACTCTGTTTTCTTCCCAGGTTTCTCTGCTACAGTACTAGGAGATGACTCTGGTTCTGCTGCAGCAACTGAAGGCTTCACTACTTCTTTCTCCTCCTTTGGCTGCTCAGGCACAGAGTTGGCTTTGAGTTTATCTGTGAATAAACCATTCAAAAAGAACAAACACTGGGCATTCAGTCTGAGTGACAACTTACAAAGCAGCTGGCTAGCTCTGTGCACCAAGATTACAGACAACACTACCCATCGTGTATTTAGGGATCTAGATTGGCCAAGCTGTATCAGACATGGGAAAAAGAAGGGCATGCTTTAATTTCTAGGTGATTTTCCATGGTTCTGCTGTTCCTGATGTCAAGCCACCATGTGTGCTGCAGCAGTTAAAACTCTCTGGAAGGGGCTGGGAGGCAGTGGCAGGAGATCACCAGTGGGGACAGAGGCTGCTGGGAGGGCCGCAACATGGTGCCAGTGCCTTTCTGGGAGTGCTGGGAAAACAGGCTGGCTGCTTCCCTGGGCAAGGGCAAACAGCTCTCTAATTTATGGCCAACAGCAGAAAGCCCAAGGACCCCAGTGCTGTTCACTCAGGACTTTCTGGCAGTGGTGGAACCTTTGAAGCCAGGAGAGACATGCACGTAGGGAATAAATCTTTCTCCTGCAATCCCACCCTCTGTTCATACACATAATCATTTCCAGTTCTGCTCAGTGTGCTCCTTCTCTGCAGCCACATCACAGGTTTCCTCAGCGTGCTCCCTGACAGGAAGCTCTGTGCACCAAGATTACAGACAACACTACCCATCGTGTATTTAGGGATCTAGATTGGCCAAGCTGTATCAGACATGGGAAAAAGAAGGGCATGCTTTAATTTCTAGGTGATTTTCCATGGTTCTGCTGTTCCTGATGTCAAGCCACCATGTGTGCTGCAGCAGTTAAAACTCTCTGGAAGGGGCTGGGAGGCAGTGGCAGGAGATCACCAGTGGGGACAGAGGCTGCTGGGAGGGCCGCAACATGGTGCCAGTGCCTTTCTGGGAGTGCTGGGAAAACAGGCTGGCTGCTTCCCTGGGCAAGGGCAAACAGCTCTCTAATTTATGGCCAACAGCAGAAAGCCCAAGGACCCCAGTGCTGTTCACTCAGGACTTTCTGGCAGTGGTGGAACCTTTGAAGCCAGGAGAGACATGCACGTAGGGAATAAATCTTTCTCCTGCAATCCCACCCTCTGTTCATACACATAATCATTTCCAGTTCTGCTCAGTGTGCTCCTTCTCTGCAGCCACATCACAGGTTTCCTCAGCATGCTCCCTCAGCACAGAAGGAAACCCCTTTGGGAATTTTGGAAATGCATCCCCAAAGCCTTCCCCATCACCAGTGGGTCACCTTTACCATGCCTCTTTGGGTTTTCAGCACATGAGCTTTGGTCTAGGGGGTCTTTTCAGACCTTTGGAATTTACCCCAGTTAATTGCAGTGACTGTCTTTGGGCTGAGAGTGTCCTCAGCTCCCTCAGTCTCACCAAAACAGGGACTCAGAGTCCCAGCAGGGCTGTGCCTCGTCTGCTCAGTGCTGGAACTGTCCCCTGCAGCTCTGACAGATGTCTGCTAGAAGTGAACGTTGCTGTTTACTCTCTCCCAAAATTCCTCTTTGAAGCCTCCTGTACTCACTGCTATAAGGGAACCTTTGAAGGAGGTCCCACAGTCCTTTTCCAATATTCCAATATTTAAAAGCTTCATCACAGTTTCTTTTGACTAGGGTAATTCAGAAGGGACCTGCAGAGGCCACCTAGTCCAACCCTCTACTCAAAGAGAGAGGCCAGCCCTCATTTTTATTCTCCATGTATCAGTCCTTCAGTTTTTAGGAAAGAAATTAACCCCAAAACTAACAATGGGCTCTTCACTGCTATAAGGGAACCTTTGAAGGAGGTCCCACAGTCCTTTTCCAATATTCCAATATTTAAAAGCTTCATCACAGTTTCTTTTGACTAGGGTAATTCAGAAGGGACCTGCAGAGGCCACCTAGTCCAACCCTCTACTCAAAGAGAGAGGCCAGCCCTCATTTTTATTCTCCATGTATCAGTCCTTCAGTTTTTAACCCCAAAACTAACAATGGGCTCCTCAGTGCTGTGTGATGAAAAGCAAGCACCATTAACATGCCCTGCAAAACAGGTTTTGGCAAACATCTCACCAATAGCTGGTCTTCCAGCCAGGAGAACTCACTTTAAATCAGATTTCTTCTGCACTAAAAATCCTTCCTGGGTTAGTCTGCTCAAATATGTCATTTTAATTGATCTCCCTCCAGCAAGCTTTTTGTCTGAAAAATTCCACTGAAAACCCTTAATTTTTGCTTTAAAAGCTGTGTGCTAAAACATTAACCCCTTTGAGTGCAAAAGAGCAGAAGAAAGTGTGGAAAACTATTGGGAAAGATGGGATATAAAGAAAATCCAATGAGTCTGGTAGAGTGGGGATGGGGAGGAAGAGCTCTGCTCCTTTCTACATGCCTTCCATCATGGCTCTAGTACAAAACACTTGATTCTACTGAATATTTTTACATTTCTACCCAGCTTAAATAAAGTATAATTAAAAAAAAAAAAAAAGGTACTTCAAATAATCCTCAGGTTTGTTTTTTTTTTTTAACTACAACAGGCTGTTATTTGACCACGAAGGCCTCTGAAAACAGAAAAGCACTTACTCATAGCAGCCTTTCCAAAGAAGTTGTTCATGATGCTGTTCTTTGTTGGTGGCTTGCTGCTTGCTGCAGACACCTGGAAGCAAAGAGAGGAATAAGCACAGGAAATGCTCCCAGCCCTCAAGGTGCACAGCACTGCTTCTGGACAAGCAAAATAATAGATTTGTTCCCACTGCCTTAGATTTTAGCAGATGTAGCAAATTCTCTGTTTTGGAGAATTTGAAGGTACTGATTAGACACCACGTGCATCAAATGGGCCAGAGTAAGCTCCTAAGGACTCCTCAGCCAGACCTTCAGATCTGACTTGGGGCACATTTCATTACTGAAATAATGCTTGGGACTAGGGTCAGTTCCCAGCAAAGAACTGCTCCGTTTGCAAACCATCACTGCCCCAGTTCACAGCAGCCAACAGAGGAAAGAACAGAGACTGGCCAAACCAGGAAGGTTTATCCAGCTCCTCTGGCACGTAGGCTGTTTGCAAGGAAATATCACTGCTCTGTTGCACCAGTGCAACCACCACAGTGAGAAATCACACCCACACACACCCCACCACCTAAGAAAGTGCAGCCTCCTAATCCAACTTCTTTTCATGCAGATAAAAGGCAACCAGACACTAAAGTTCCCAAAATACTGCACACTTCCCCAGTTCTAAACTCCCTATAAAAATCAGAGAAAGGAACCCAAACGTTCTCAGTTGTTATGAAAAGGCCAAACCATCCACAGGGAGTGTTACCATTTTAACACCCATTTTTCTGGCCACGTCACTTTAAAAACAATTATACTAATTAAAATGAAAACATAATCCTATCCTGGAAAAACAGCAGTCCAGAAGATAAACAATTTAGTCTTGCACAGGTCAAGCTCCGAAACTTCGCTCACCCACCAAGTTTAAACACCTTGATACTTTTAAGACCTGGGCTTCTCATGTTTCACTAATTGCTCAAAACAAATCCTTTTAAGCACAATGGAGGGAGCAAGATCCTCAGCTGGTGTGTACATTGGGACAGCTGGAGACAGAGGAGCAGTTGTCTCCATAAGGCAGGTTTACACTCGCCCGAGATCCGGCTCACTGGGGAACGTCAAAGCTACGGCAAATAAACTTTTGTGGAGAGATCCGGAGTGTGGCACGAGGGATTTTGCCCCAGGTGACTGCACACACTTCCAAAGGATCCCTGAGCACTCCCAGTGGGAGGTGGGCTTGGCAGCAGGAGCAGTGCAGGGGTGGCTGAGCTCCCTGAGGCGGCGTGGGAGCGGATCCTGAGGTCACTTACGCTCGGGGCCTCCTTGGCCTCTGCCTTGGCCTCCTTGGCTGTGTCCTGGGCTTTGGCCGCTGCTTTGGCTGCAAACATGCCCATGATGCCCTTCTGCTGCTGTGGGGGGGGCCCGGCAGACCGGGGCCCGTGGCCATTGGCGGTGGCATGGGGGTCCCGGTGCCGCGGGGGGCTCTGCGCGGGCGGCGGCGCGCGGGCGGCGGCGGGCGGCGTCCTGGGCACGGCGGCAGCGCAGCGGATGGCACTGAACCTGTGTGACGGAGTGACAATGCCATTAGCCCCCTCAGCTCCGGGTGCTCACCTCGCCTTCCCCCCTGCTGCGGCGCCAGCGCTCCCCCGGGCCTGCCTTCTCCTGTTATGGGAAAAGGAGCAATGCAATCGGTGCCTGGGACAAGACAGAAAGGCTGGCACAGAGCAAGAGACCTCTGATGAAAAGATCAGCTGAACCTGTCAGCAAGAGCCACAGTATTCACACGTCAAACGAGCTGTGCAGCTTTCCTGGGGGGTAAAGGCCTTCTCCACGCTCAGGCTGGACAAGGAGCAGGCTGCATTTTATTCCTAAATGGGCTACGCTCCCTAAAGCCTGTGGCAGAAGTTGGATGGCTGAGTGAGGATCTAAAACAAGTTTACAGCTTTCTGATGCTCTGACAAAGCCCACAGCTGCTGCAACAAGCAGCCCCACTCGGACAGGTAGGCAAATCCCAGCTGAAACTGAACAATTGAAATGGCTCCGAAAAGATCCAATATTTAACTACACAAAGTCATTTCCAAGTAATCCCTGAGAGCGAGTGGCAGCTTGGTTTATAATGGCCTGAAACTTGATTGTTTGGGGATATGGAGACACAAGAACTAAATGACGTGCTCACAGCTACAGCACAACTCACTGACAGTCAGGAATAGCAGCTCCCAAAAATAGCTGAACTCTGCTCCCCACTGTGCAAATCACAGGCGACGCTTTCCAGATTTCCCACAGAAATGCCACAAAAGAGCCCAGCTCACGCCTCCCAGCCCACTGAATTACACAGCATGTTTTTATTTGCCTAAGAAATAAAGTAGCTTTCTGCCTGTTCATTTCTGTGCCTCAGCATTAGCTGCTCACGTGCACAGTCCACTTCCACTCCCATCAGGATCTGTATTAACAAAACAACACCATCTCCACAGCATTCCCAGGCTGCAGCAGCAACCTCTTGACATTCAAACCTTTAAAGGAAGGAAAACACATTGAAGAAAAATAATCCTACTCTCCTTTATACTTTCAATCTGTTTTTAACATGGTTAATACAGCTCTCAGGGCAGCGTGAGCTCCTACTCTAAACACCACCAACCCTCCAAAATATAATATTGTCACAAATACTATTGTCAATGGTTATGTTGACTGTGCAGCAGAGCTCAGCTAACCTTCCCCTATTTCCAAGTCAGCTTGCCTTGATGCTGCTGTGTGACTATATTTTTATGAGCTTGACCCATTAATCACTAAATAACCGCTGAAAAAATAGGCAATACTTGGACTATGCTCTGCAAACAAGGAGCTGCTTCTGTTTGGAAAGATGGCAGTGGCAACAGGCATTAAACCCAGATATTGGTACCAGTTAGTACACCCAACCACCTCCACTGTCTTCACTGCAAAGCAGGTCTCACAGAAACCCAGAAGAGAACAAAGATCCTTGTCACAGAGCTGTGAAATACCTGGACAGGCAGGGAGGTTCTCTTTGCTACAAACCTCACATAACTAAACCTCTGGCTTTTGCAGGTCCTGCAGCAATCTTTTCCCACATGTCACAGACAATCCATGCAGATGGCAAGAGAGAGGAAATGGGATCAATCTGTATTTACTTCAGCCGGGTCACAAATGAAGAAGGTGCAATTTTTCCTAGTTTCCTTGGGAAATCCTGCTTCAAAGCCGGATTTACACACAGGCTTCAGACAGCTGTGTCAGAACCTGGATTATCTGAACCTTCCATGTTTAAATCCCAAAGGATACAAGTATCCCTAAGGCACAAGTATGAGTACACTGGGGTGCCTAAGAGTGAACAGAGTGGAACAAGGCAGCTGCAGCCACACCCAGGGCACGTGGCTGCACTGCTGTGGGATCACCCAGCTCCTTCCAGGCCATCCACCCAAACACACAGCTTCTATTTCCTCCGCCGCTCTCCTGTCAACACTTTGGATACAACCACATTTCTCCTCTCAGATTCTATACTCCTCCTATGACACACCCTTCAGGCATCCCCCTTTAAACCAGATTGGTCACGGCAGCGTGCAGCCCCATGACTTCAAGCTGAAGCTGTCCTGGTGGGAACAACACACAAGTGAGAAGCTGCAGCTGCCAGGCGCTGCTCAGGAGGGAGCCGTGACTCCAGGGGACTGCATCCCTCCCAGCTCTTCTCCAGCTCCCCCAGCAAGGACTCTGGTGCTGCCTGGACTGTGCTGTGTGCTGCTCCTACATCTCAGAGATCACAGCCTACTCTGAGCTGCAATGAACCCACACAGACCAAAGCCCAACTCCTGGAGAAGGAGCTCCTGTGAGACATCTTCAGAGGACTGGACGAGTCCAGAAGATGAGAACACAGTTTCACAAAACAGAAAGCAAACTCCTGTAAATGCTTTGCTGAGCACATCATTCATGGTTTTATCAGCCTGTTTCGATATTCTCCTCCTGTGTGGATGAGAACTGGATTAAAATGGTCATGATTAAGTGTGGCCTGGGAAACAGAGACACGTTTCCAGCCATCAGACAAGCAAGGTACTGGAACAGTCTCCTTGTCAGAATAAGGACCAAGTGAACCAACTGTGAGCTCAGTTTACAAAACACAATGCGCTCTTTGGGCACTGCTCTGGCAGGACTTTGAGGCTATCTTTTCCTAGCTTTCTAAAAGTCCAGGCCTATCTAGTAAGCACTTGAGTCTGGAAGTGCTTCAGAAGGCAAAGGGAGGCAGGACTCACTTGCTGCAGTGCTGCAGGTTTGCCTTGACGATGTCGTAGTCGGTGTTGTAGAGGGGGGAGCTGTCCTTGAGCAGGGCCTTCTGAATGCTGTACACGTGCACACTGGCAATTGTGGACAGCTTGGACTTCATTGCTGGGGAAAAAGAGGAAAAAAAGCCCTCTGTCAGCACACCCAGAAAGACTGACAGACTACTTGACAGCAAAACATGAATATGAAAAGGTCCAAGCACACCTTCTCCCAGCGCGCACTAATGAGGAATTCAAGGCAGCAAACCCCACAAGCCTGTCACGTTTTCCACTACACACTCTTGGTTCTTGCACAACTGCCTTACGAGGGATCTCTCTGTGTTTACCTTCAAAACATCCAGTGTTTGGGATGCAGGATAGCTGAGTGAGTACCTAGCTACGGCAGAAGGAAGCTGGTCACTCCTCTCTGCCACTGGGACTGTGTCCAGCACCAGTGTCACTCCCACCGGTCTGTCTGCTGGAATGAAAACTTTATCTCTTTTATGCTGCTTAGACTGCAACCCCCTTGAGACAAGGGGTTGGATTTCAGGAATTCTTTGTTCATTGTTTATATTGTTCTTTCCACAGGTCTGAGGCTGAGCTTCTAGGCACTGTAAAAATACACACAGTAATCATTTCTTGGGGCCAGGCCTAGACTATGCAGCCCTACTCCCATCAAAAATCTCAGCCTCTTCCAAATATAAGTCATACCTTTGGCCTGCCTTCCAATACAAAAACCATGAGCAACCCTTTCCTCCACAGCAAAACAGTGTTACACAGCACACATAACTCAACAAACATGACACAGAGTAGTTGCACTGCCTGACAATCTCCTACTCTGAGGAAAACAGCCCGAGCTAGAAATCCACTCCAGATTTCCAGCAACGCAAGTCCTTCAAACAAAGTGAGGTCAGTAGCTCAGATCTTTAAGGTCACAAATACCACAGTGTGTTCTCAAGTGCCAAAGATGTTATTTGAAAGTGATGAAGAGCCTGAAGCTGCATTTCAGTTCTGTGGGTAAGATTTCATCAGCAGGACCAGAAAGATGGTGAGACAACAGACAGTGTTGCAATGGGGGTTTTTCCACCTTTCACTCACAAAAGTGAGGTAAATGTTCTGTGAGAACATTTTAACACCCATGGGACTTGGAGCAAAGACTGCAACTGCATTGAACCAATACCCAGAATTACCACTTTCAGCATTCTTGGGGGCCTGAAGGCTCTCAATTGTTCTGAGACACTACTGGTGTATTGTTGTCTCCCTGCTGTCAGTGGCAGGGAGGTGGAAAAGAATCACGGACCAAAAAACCCAAAAAAATCAGACTCAAATCACAAGCCTGAAGGTTGTGCTGCTGGCTCAGATACTCCAGATTCTGAGAAACAGCTGGTACAAAAAGTACACACCTGACCCCAAGAGCCTTGCTGGGCATCTACGTGCAGATGGCAAGTTCTGAGCTTTGCTCATTCTGCTGTTCTTTCAAAGAAAAAAGTTAAAGCCACATGGCTTTCCCAGCCTGCTTACCTTCCAGTTTATCCTCCCTCACTACTGCGACCTTGTGGCACTGGAAAAAAAGAAATACAATCTTAAAACCTGAGGCTGTATGCAAGACTGCTACTTTCAGTTGTTAAATAAGAAAGTCTAATGATTATTGTAGCACAGAACACTGGCAATGCCTTTAAACACTCATCAGTTTTTAAAGCTCTGAAATGTGCTCTCTGGCCAGTCTTCAAGGTCTCTACCTGCTCCAGGACATTTAACAGGCTGTGGTTTATACTGGGAGGATCCAGAGACAGACTGAAAACCCCACCACTAATTCTGTGTTAAACAGATACCATGGACCTGTCTGAAATCAGGGAAAATCCTGTTAAATTCAGGCTATAAACATGACACTACCTGTGCAGCTTTAGTTAAACACATCCCATTATACAGAACTAATGCAATAAATAATCACCTTCCATTTCAGGCAGATTTGAGGATTAAAAGACAATATTCCATGCATTTGAACCAGTTTATCTAGGAGAACAAAAAAAAAGGTTTCTTGGGGTTTTTTTTCCAATCTACAAATAAAAGCCAGGACACCCTGAGATTTACTATTCCTAAAAGAAGACTGGATCATATTGTAACAGATATTTGTAATGTATTGTAATAGGTATTTAAAAAGACTTAGTGTGATGTCAAAGGCATTTAGTGTTTGGCTCTTAAATTTGTTTATGGGCAAAGGGGAGCAGACACTCAATTTTCCCATTTTGTTTTAAAAACCTCTGGGGTATCTGCCTGAAGTTTTAGATGACATTCCTGAAAATCTGGGAAGCTAAATGCATTAAGCAGCAATTCCTTTGCTTAATAAGCTGAGGCACTTTAACTACAGAATACTGTAAACTAATTTATGTTTCTTTTGTTCACCAGGATTAAAAGGCTGCTTTAATCAGGCAGCAAAAGAGCAAGTGGTAAGAAAAACCACAGGCAGGTAAGAGAATAACCAAAGATTGGCAGCCTTGGCCCCTCAGTGCAGAAAGCAGCAAGGAAAGTGTGCAGTGTTAAGGAGGAGCACTCCAGAGGGATTTCCAGGGCTCTCCCTGCAGGAGTGCTGCAGCTGCATCCGCAGCATTCCGGCTACACCTACTGCCAGCAGGCAGCAGTGCAGGGTGTCCCAGCAGTGCAGGGCAGTGCAGGGTGTCCCAGCAGTGCAGGGCAGTGCAGGGTGTCCCAGCAGTGCAGGGCAGTGCAGGGTGTCCCAGCAGTGCAGGGCAGTGCAGGGTGTCCCAGCAGTGCAGGGCAGTGCAGGGTGTCCCAGCAGTGCAGGGCAGTGCAGGGTGTCCCAGCAGTGCAGGGCTCTCCCAGCAGTGCAGGGCAGTGCAGGGCTCTCCCAGCAGTGCAGGGTGTCCCAGCAGTGCAGGGCAGTGCAGGGTGTCCCAGCAGTGCAGGGCAGTGCAGGGTGTCCCAGCAGTGCAGGGCTCTCCCAGCAGTGCAGGGCAGTGCCAGCAGTGCAGGGCTCTCCCAGCAG